TGAGTGTGTGTGTGTGTGTCTGTGTTTGTGTGTCTGTGTCTGTGTGTGTGTGTATGTGTTTGTGAGTGTGTGTATGTGTGTGTGTGTGTGCGTATGCATCTGCGTGTGTGCGCGAGCGCATGTCTGTGTATGCGTGTGTGTCTATGTGTGTGTGTGCACGAGCACATGCGTGCGTGCGTGTGTCTGTGTATGTGTGTGAGTCTGTGTGTGTGTCATCTATGAGCAAGCATTAATTTTTTTCACAGTAGTTCTTTGCACTTGGATTTCCGTGATTTATGACAGCACCCACAGCCAGGTGCACACACAGGGGTAGCTACTATAAAAACCATCTACATTATTGCCATCATTATAATCATTGTTATCATTATCATTACAATTATTATTATAATTATTATCATATTACGGTTTACCTAAGTGGCTGGGAAGTGGAGAAGAAGTTTTGTTGTCATCTGACTTTTTGCTCGTGTTGATGAAATCCTGGAAGTTTTGTTGTTGTTGTTTTTGTTGCTGCTGTTGCTGCTGCTGTTGTTGTTCCTGATCTGCGCCGAGCCCCTGACCAGAGTGATCTCCCCCCACACCCTGCGACAGCGACAGCTTCCTGGTGCCAGCGACAAGAGACGTCAGTTCCTCCACTTGTTTCTGAGAGAGAGAGAGAAACAGAACCAGCTTTAGTTTAGGAAAGAGTTTTACAGCACGTGCAACACAATAAGGTCATGTAAGTGCCGAAGGTTAGAGGTATTACAAGAGAGTAACAAACACAAAAAAAAAAGGAGGGGAGATAAAGACGATAGATTCTTTACAGGAAAGAAGGAACAAACCACACCAGAACACCCGCCAACCACCCACTAACAGAACCATGTCCTGCAGACATTTTTGAGGGAAAGAAAACCAGATAAATATTTTCTTTATGAAGGTTTTTTTTCCATGCCCCACAGACACACAAAACAAACACAGAACAATTTGGTGTACCTTTTTTTTGGGAGAGAAAGAAAAATTCAGTAATTTTGTGTTCTCGTTTCTGAAGGACAGAAAAATTAGAACTATTTTGTCTACTTGTTTGTTTTCAATCTTCTTCTTGTTTTCGATGGCATCACACTTGAAGTCTGGTATCGTGGCGTCGGTGGCCTAGTGGTTAGGCTCTCGGACTCGCAACCGTAAGGTCGTGGGTTCGAATCCTGTCAGGGACTCGACGTTGTGTCCTTGGGAAAGGCACTTTACACGAATTTTCCTCATTTCACCCAGGTGGGAATGGGTACCCGGCTATAGACAGCGAAAGATCTTGTCAGTTTGTTAGTGTTTGAGCGCTTAATCAGCTGCTTGCACTGTATGCTTCCCGGGAAGCCGAGAATGTTTCGGAGTGTTCTATGGTCTGCTGGGGTAATAATATAGTGTAAAGCGCATAGAGCCTGCTGCTGAGTGGGGATATGCGCTATACAAATGCTATTTATTATTATTATCTGTCATGAATTGGGCCGTCCTGCGCAGTTCATCTGTCGGCCCGTATAGCTTCTCTTGCACTGTTTGTTTTCAATATTTTTAAAGATTAATTTTTCCAACCTAGGTGTTTCTTCTCCACTCTCAAGGCAATTTACTTCAATTAGGAGGCAGGCTGCTGGTTTCCAAGCCAGCCTGTCACAGCCAACCCAGATTGAAAAAGATGCAACATCCCAGCAGAAAGACCCAAGATGTTTGATTAAAATTTCTCCCCACTCGAGAATCGAACTCCAAACTCCTGTGTGCGACAGCGAAGCACCTATCTGCTAAACCACAGTCGGCCGTCTGTAGAATGTAACCCTCAAACAGTTTCATCATTTTCTCTACACTTCCTGTCTGCACAACGACTGTGTTCTGCAGAAACTCCAATCAACCCTTTCGTAGCGGAGTGGGTTTTTTCTAACTTTCATGAGGCTTAATTTTTGCTAACCAGGACAACGAGCAGTTTCAGTCATTTTGCGATCCATTTAAAAATTAAAGATTTACATGATTCATACATTTCCGTTATCACAGATTTCTAACCTTTCATTAATTTTTCAATAAACTTCTATATTCAAAGCTATTGTAGAACAGTTAAATAAAAATTCCACACGCTGCATTTTATGATGCCCACTGTACGTGAGGATGTCGTCTTGACTCATGACGTTCAACGTACGCTGCACATAAGCTGTCACAAAGCGACTGACAACATCCCTAGAGAGAAAGCTCTATGGCAGTCTCTCAGATTTGAAGCGAACTGCAGTTTGTGCGTGACATCGGACTGACTGTCTATCTGCTGTCATCGAGAACGAGGAAGGAGAAGAAGAACTGACAACATCAGCGGAGAGAGTAAGGTCATACGTTGCCTGCTGGACTGACCACATCAGAGGAGAGAGTAAGGTCGTATGTTGCCTACTGGCTTCTCTCAGAACTACGTATCAACAAAAGACGTTGCGTTTTTCTCTGACCTTGAGAGAGGAGAGCTCCCCCTGCGTGCTGTCCCTGTGGCGCTGGTGCTGGGCGTAGAGCTTGCCGTACTCCTCCTGGGTCACAATCAGGTCCTGGGGGAACAACCGCAACAGCAGCAACAATTATATCTCTCATCATCAACAACAACAACCGCAACAGCAGCAACAATTATATCTCTCATCATCAACAACAACAACCGCAACAGCAACAACAATCATATCTCTCATCATCAACAACAACAACAACCGCAACAACAACAACAATCATATCTCTCATCATTAACAACAACCGCAACAACAACAACAACCATATCTCTCATCATCATCATCATCAACAACAACAACAACAATCACATCTCTCATCATTTACCGTCCTTATTCCTATAACAACAACAATAACAACAACAACAGTCACATCTCTCATCATCCAAAACAACAACAACAACAACAATCACATCTCTCATCATTTACCGTCCTTATTCCTATGACAACAACAACAACAAAACAACAACAACAATCACATCTCTCATCATTTACCGTCCTTATTCCTATAACAGCAACAGCAACAATCACATCTCTCGTCACCGACAATAACAACCATATCATTAACCCTCCTGTAATAACAACAAGAACAACAACTACTACCACCCCCACCACATATCTCATCATTTATCAACAACAACAACAACAACAACATCTTGCATCATCTCTCCTTTCTATACAACGCCTTCTCTGAAAAAGAACAAATACAAACTACAAAGCTCTCAACTGACAGCTTTGAAATAATAGTCGCAAAACCGTCTTTCTAATCAAGAGAAGAAAAACAGAAAGAACAAGTCAAAGGAGCAAAACGCTTCTTTTTTTAGAAATAAGAGTTTTACAGCAATTGCAACACAAACAGGTCACAGAAGCACCGAAGACGAGAGGTGTTACTAAAGAGTATCATACAAAGAAAAGAAGGAGAGATAAGGACGATAGATGTTTGATAGGAAAGAAGGAGCAAACCACACCAGAGCACCCGCCAACGACCCATACACAAAAAGTGGAGGTGGGCAGGAATGACTCACCGTGGCCAAAGCATCGATGATAGTCCTCAGTTGGTAGACATCTTGGGTCAGCTGTTCTCTCAGCGTCACTTCCGTCCGCACACGCAAGTCGGTCTATTGATAGACCCAAGTAGGGCAAAATAGAAGTTTGGTTTCGTTTTTGTAAGGTTTTTACTGCGCTCGCAACTGCATAGAGTCATATGAGCGCCCAGGGGTGGATGTCAACAGAGAAGTTCAAACAGGGAATCAGGCTTACTCTGCTCACCTCTCTAGCTTCAACAGCACAGAGTCTGCTTCGACTATCAAGGCACAAGAGTGTGACAAACATACAAAAGAAGTAGAAGAAAAATGACGATAGTAAGGATGAGGAAAAAAAAAGCAGCAGTTCCCCCTATGTTGTTCCGGCACAGTATGAGCATGACATTGATAAACCAGCCCATTAACAATACTACTGTGCATAAAAACATGTCAATAATAATAATAAATAGCATTTATACTGCGCATTTCCATTTCCTAAAAGATGCTCAATGCGCATTACAATGAAAAAGACATCACATCTTAAAAATTAATCGACACAAATGTGTTCCTTAAACAAAGTATTACACATATAATATATATGCATATGTGTAAAATTTTATACCAGAAAAACAGTCTCGCAGTGAGGTTGTCAATATCCCCCCCCCCCCCCCCTTTTTGGGAACGTTTCAATGACCCTAGAGCACTCACTGACCTCCTTCAGGTAGCGCGTGAGTCGCGCCACAGCGTCCACCAGCGCCACCGTGTAGCCCGAGAACGTCTCGGTGGTCCCCCCTGCGGGTCCGTGCGTCTGCCGGCCCGTCTGATGCTCGTACTGGGACAGCTCCAACTCCAGCTGGTGGAGCACCTGTGACAGATGACGGGGGGGGGGGGGGGGGCTTTGTATAATACAAGAGACAACACTGTGGGGGAGGGGGGGACACTTTGCCTTACAACATGACACGGTGGGGAGAGGGGGGGGGCTTTGTATTACAACAGACGACAAGGAGGGGACACTTTGTCTTTCAACATGTCAGGGAAAGCTTTTTCTTCCACTCCAGCATTTTCTTTCACACATCTCCCATCCAAGGAGTACATGAACTTTTGCAAGGAGGTGATACTGGCGTCAGCGGTTAGGCGCTTCACTGTCACATGCAGGAGACCCGAGTTCAATTCTCTAGTAGGGAGAATTTTTGTAGACTATCTCGGTTATGGTGTAGGGATGTTGTATCCTTCTAGGCCCGGATTTGCCTGAAAGGCAGGGTTGGAAGCCCGCCTCCTAAATGATCCAAATACTGTCAACAGGGGCATCAAAAACACCAACATTACAAACAAAAAGAATCTGTTTACAACCAGCTGAGTAACTCTCACAGGGGAAGTTGTACGTCAGGGTTTAATACATCACATGTCATGGGCAATTCATTAAAAGTACTAAGCCCAGAAAGCAAAATTTTACCAGGAAAAAGAGAAAATTTCCTTCCTTTAACAATTGTTCCAAAACAATGTAGTTTTTCTTTCATTTTCAAAAGGTAGAAGAATTTGAATTTGGACAAAGTATTTCTAGCACAACCAATATCACAAATCAAAAAACTGCGATAAAAAAAAAATTGTTTTATTAAAATTAGGACCTTAGTACATTTAAATAGCTGTATGACGATTTCTTTTCTCCGACTGACAGACCAACTCCTCACCTTCCTCATGTCTGACATGGACGCTGTCGTGTCGGAACTGACAGATGAGGCGTTCGGCGATTTCACAATTTTTTTCGTCTTTTTTATCTTCCGTGTGTCATTAATGGCGGAAGGAGGCGTTCTGTCAGACGGCAGTGGGGGTCCAGCCAGCTCATTTCTCGGCGGTGTTCTTGGCTCTGTGCGACCGCCGTTCGCTGATGTATCGCGGGCCGGCTCCTTGCGACCTCCATTGGCTGTATTACGGGAGAAAAACAGTCGAAAGAATAGAAAAAGACACCGAAACATTTCAAACTTATTTCCTGGAACATACATCCAATTTTTCAAAGAAATACAATTCTGTACTCTTGTCTTACGAAGATTACAAATAGATGAAAATACATAAATATAAATGTATAAGCAGGAGTACATTACAACATCCACATAAATTCAGTAATCAGGATTTCTGGATCTACATGAAAATAGGCGAAACAGACACTACCAAATTTTTCATGAAACAATAGTGTGCAAATTTTTTTTTTTGTTTTATTAAGAGTTTTACAGCACTTGCAACTCAATAAGGTCATATAACTGCCGAAGATTAGAATTGTTACAAGAGAGTAACATACACAAAAAAGGAGAGATAAGGACGACAGATGTTCGATAGGGAAGAAGGAGCAAACAACACCAGATCACCCGCCAACCACCCGCAGTGTGCAAGTTTACCTGACATGGCTGCCAGTAATATATTCATCATGTGGGGGTCGTGGGCCAGCGGGGAATCTCCCTGTCCCGTCTGGCGCAAGATCGTGGTTAAAAGTTTCATGTTCAGAGTCGGATCCCTCGCGGCGTGTCTGGCGTTGGCACTGGAGCTAGCGCTGGGGTTATTGTTGTTATTGTTGTTGTTGTTGCTGTTATGGCTCTGGTTGTCTCCCCTGTGCCCTGCGTCGCGCCCGTTGGCGAGGCCAGAGACGAGAGAGGGCGGGTCTTGCTGCACCGACCGCTTCTCCTCTTCCTGGAGGTACTCCTGGAACCTCTGCAGGTTCATCTTGGGCTGGTACGAGATCGGCTCTGGCTGGTCGATTTCCTCGTCGTCCTCATCTGAGCAACAACAAAGACAGAAAACTGACGGGAATACTCAAACATCGGCCGTTTTTTCTAACAACAACCAAGTCAGAAAACTGACGGGAATACTCAAACATCGGCCGTTTTTTCTAACAACAACCAAGTCAGAAAAGCAAAAGATTTATTCGCCTAAAATACCAGCCAATTTTCCCAACAGTAAAGCCTACACAAGGCCACTCACTGATAAAGACAATTAGTAAGAGACAAATGCAGTTTCTGGGACAGTTGAATAGACATAAGCACCTTGAACATCTAGACTAGCTATCACTGGTAATACGGGGTGCCCACTACGGCTGGGATCGGCCGATCAGGCCGATCGCCCGACTCAATCGCCTCAAAAACAAACGTGTTTGTTTTCAGTTTCAGGCGATCGAGTTGGGCGATCGTTCCGATCCAGCCGTAGTGGGCACCCCGTATTAAATTGAAAGCAAATGAGGGAGGGGTAGACCCAGAGCAACTTGCTAGGAGACTTCATACCGATGGGGGAGGGGGAAATTTGTGGATAATAATCATGACTACAGATGTCTGCTGCAGATCTGACACAGGACGATGATGAAGGTCCAAAAGCATACCCTCTCCCTGTCTTATATGGTCGCTTTTAAGCACAACGGGGCTATCCCCAAAAATGCTGTTTTGAGAAAATCGAAGATAAAGTTTTTTGCCCCTTGTTCAGTTTCTTTAAAAGACAAGGAGATTTTTCTCTACAACCAAACAAATATGCACACCAATGAAACCAAAGTTCTCCTATAGGTAGGGCAATGCCTACTTTTGAGGTAGGTCAAGATTTCTGGAAACTCCCAGAAATCTGGGTTAGCCTGCTTGTCCTTAAAAGCGACCATATATGCGTGTCTTACAACCCCAATCAGGCCAAAGAGGAAACAATGACAAATGGATTTTACATCCAACAATCACTCGGATTTTTTAATTAATGAGAATAGTTCATGATGTCATGCATGAAGATTTACAGAAAGGAATGTAAACGATTTCTACCTGAGTCTGAATCCTCCACATCATTCAAGGCCGACTGATCCATGACGGAGTCGCTAAGTTTTTCCGAGCGTGTGTAAATGTCTGGCACGGGGGCTACCAAACTGCTGGACCTGGTCAAACAAACACCACAGAACAATAAGTCTCCTACCTGATGAAACAAACGGCACAGAACAGTAAGTCTCATATGATTCACGCTCATGTTTACCTTTTCAGTTTTAATTTTTTAACCCTATCCGTACACCCGGGGTCATTTTGTACCCCCCGGCCTTGTATTCTTCACATTTTAGAATACTTCTACTTCAAGTGCGAAGATCTCTTAGAAACTTTCAGTACTTCTCAAAAAATAATTTTGACTGACTGCTATGCAAAGCGTACGGGTCGGATTAACGAGTAAATTTTTTCTGTGGCAAGTGGTGGCACAGAGTTCCCCACCTCGTATGGATACGATAGTAAAACACGGCGTACAGATAGGTTTAAGTGGCGGCACAGAGTTCCCCGCGTCGTATGGATACGATAGTAAAACATGACGTACAGACAGGGTTAAGTGGTGGCACAGAGTTCCCCGCGTCGTATGGATACGATAGTAAAACATGACGTACAGACAGGGTTAAGTGGTGGCACAGAGTTCCCCGCGTCGTATGGATACGATAGTAAAACACGACGTACGGATAGGGTTAAGTGGTGGCACAGAGTTCCCCACGTCGTATGGATACGATAGTAAAACACGACGTACGGATAGGGTTAATGTAGGTGTTTTTACACCCCTATCGATTAAATTTCGATCATTTAGGAGGCGGGCTTCCGACCCCGTCTGTAAGGGCCAATCCAGGCTACAACATCCCAGGAGAGAAACGGAGACACTCAATGAAAAATTCTCCACACGGGAATCGAACTTGGGTCTCTTGCGTGCAACAACAAAACACCTTACCCTTATACCACAGATGTCATATAAACATCTAACACCACAGATGTCATATACACAACATCTAACACCACAGATGTCATATACACAACATCTAACACCACAGATGTCATATACACAACATCTAACACCACAGATGTCATTTACACAACATCTAACACCACAGATGTCATATATACAACATCTAACACCACAGATGTCATATACACAACATCTAACACTACAGATGTCATATACACAACATCTAACACCACAGATGTCATATACACAACATCTAACACCACAGATGTCATTTACACAACATCTAACACCACAGATGTCATATATACAACATCTAACACCACAGATGTCATATACACAACATCTAACACTACAGATGCATATACACAACATCTAACACTACAGATGCATATACACAACATCTAACACTACAGATGTCATTTACACAACATCTAACACTACAGATGTCATATACACAACATCTAACACCACAGATGTCATATACACAACATCTAACACCACAGATGTCATATACACAACATCTAACACCACAGATGTCATTTACACAACATCTAACACCACAGATGTCATATATACAACATCTAACACCACAGATGTCATATACACAACATCTAACACTACAGATGTCATATACACAACATCTAACACTACAGATGTCATTTACTAAAGAAGAACATACATACCAAAAAAAAAGAAGGAGGAGAGACGAGGAATATAGAGATATTTGAGAGGAAAGAAGAAGCAAACCACACCACAGCCCCTGCCAACCACCCACAAGGAATGTTTTTCTTCAACTCTTTAGACCCTGAGTTATTTCCACCGTTTCCCGGAGTTTTTCTCTACGGTCACCTAAACCTGCTGCACTATGTCTCATTATAACCCCAAAAACTTACCTCTAACTTCTAAAAGGCAAAAACAAAGGCTGAGTCATTACTCAAAAACTTGGTTCGGGAATAGTTTTGAAAAACAAGCAAAAACTAGCACTAAATGAAACAAAATAGTTGTCACTTGTATCGTCCGATGCGGTTTAAAGAGTTAATGCTTTTTCCGTGCCCACACTGACACAATAAAGATCAAGATACTCTCAACAAAAAGTCTCCCCACCCAGGAATCAAACTCTGCTTGCAACAGCGAAGCAGCCCCGAACCCCTGCACCATAAACGACAGCCCACAAGGAATGGCGACCAACAAAAAGTCAACAGAACAAACCCGGAGAGGGAAGTCTCAGCGCAAGGAGCAGTCGTCACGTTGGGAAATCCTTGGAACCGCTGGAGAGATGGAAAAGAAAAACAGACAAAAACAGAATCAGACAACCCTGAGGGCAAGAACAGAGGACACTAATACAAAATATACACACAGAATATACATACAAAATATACACACAAAATATACACACAAAATATACACACAAAATATACACACAAAATATACATACAAAATATACACACAAAATATATATACAAAATATACACACAAAATATACACACAAATATACACACAAAATATACACACAAAATATAAACACATATATACACACAAAATACAACGCCAGGTATCAAACTCAAAGTTCACATGTACATTTCATTTCTTATCCTTTTGAAATGATTTTTTTTAAAATTCACTGCCATCTAAAGATTATGCCGATGGGTAAATTGCCTGGAACATATACGTGTATACCTGTACGGTACACATTTATGTGAATAGAACAGAGAAATAAACTTTGAAAAATGACAAAAACTGTTACAAACCTTCGGGTCATCCCCAAACAGATCTTTCACGACGGCCATCATTGTATCTGACTTGGCCAGCACACTCTCCAACTGGGCAGACAAAAAGTAGATTTTCAGCTTTAGATTTAGGAAGAGTTTCACTACACTTGCAACACAAATAATAATAATAATAATAATAATAATAATAATAATAATAATAAGAGCATTTGTATCCCTCCTTTCCCCACAACATGGGCCCAAGGCGTACATAGGACATTACGAGCGCACTCATACTAACACCATACAAATTCATCATGTGCCCACATTTTGACAGCAACATTCTTTTAGACAATAAAAAATTCTCATACAAAAAGGCAAGGTACTGTCCATTAATTAAAATTCTTAAATAGATGTGTTTTGAGTTCCCTTTAGGTCATGTAAGTGCCGAAGATGAAGATAGGAGGGGTGGCTAGAAAGTAACATACAAAGAATTGACATGATAGGAAAGGAGGATCAAACTACACCAGAGCACTCGCCAACCACCCATTAATTTTCATCTTAAAAAAGAAAATCCGGAACAAATTCTTATGCACACAACAGACAGAATAGAGAACTAATTCTTAGGTACACAACAGACAGAATAGAGAACTAATTCTTAGGTAAACAACAGACAGAATAGAGAACTAATTCTTAGGTACACAACAGACAGAATAGAGAACTAATTCTTAGGTACACAACAGACAAAAGAGAGAACCAATTCTTAGGTACACAATAGACAAAAGAGAGAACTAATTTTTAGGTACATAACAGACAAAAGAGAGAACTAATTCTTAGGTACACAACAGCAGATTAAAAACCAGGAAATGAATGTGTTATCTTTCTCCCTTCTCTGATGGTTCTGAGATCTTTCACACCCGGCCATGTGAAGAACACTTCTATTTGTTTTCCCTCTTTGTCCATGACATTCTTTGTACTTTTTTTTTCAATCCTCTGTTGCCGTTAAGCGTCGAGGGGGACATTCTTTGTATTCTCCTTAAATATACCACATTTCGGCGGCTTCCAATCTTCTCTCTGTGTCCTTGTTCAGAGTCCAGCTCTCACATCCATACAAAAAGGATTGACCACATGTACGAGGACTGACCACACGTACTTTTACCTGGATACCGGAGCGGTCATCTCTGACTCAGAGCTTGACGTGTAATGACCCTCCATCCTTCACGGTCGCGTGCTACCGTTGCACATTCTGCTATATCCAGGCCAGTCCGTACGTTTACTGGGTTCTCATCACTAGCATCTGTGGTGAAGCGGTTAGGCACTTCACTGGTGGACACAAGAGACCCAAGTTCAATTCTCGAACGGGGATATATTTTTACCAAGAATCTAGATCTTTCTGCAGGGATGTTGTATCCCTCTCAGGGGCCCGGTCTGTCTACTGGGATGTTGTATCTCTCTCAGCCCAGGTCTGTCTGCTGGGATGTTGTATCTCTCTCAGGCCGGGTCTGTCTACTGGGATGTTGTATCCCTCTCAGGCCGGGTCTGTCTACTGGGATGCTGTATCTCTCTCAGGCCGGGTCTGTCTACTGGGATGTTGTACCTTTCTCAGGCCGGGTCTGTCTACTGGGATGTTGTATCTCTCTCAGGCCGGGTCTGTCTACTGGGATGTTGTATCCCTCTCAGGCCGGGTCTGTCTACTGGGATGTTATATCCCTCTCAGGCCGGGTCTGTCTACTGGGATGTTGTATCTCTCTCATGCCGGGTCTGTCTACTGGGATGTTGTATCCCTCTCAGGCCGGGTCTGTCTCCTGGGATGTTGTATCCCTCTCAGCGCGGGTTGGGCCTGACAGGTAGGGGCAGAAATCCGCCTCCTAAATTATCTAAATTGTGTTGATGGGGGTGTAAAAACACTTACATTCTTATTTGTTTAAAATCAGTTTCATATGATCTTTATGTCGTGTGTCCCCAGACACTCGACGTAAGAAGAAAAGGTCACCTGTTGTTGATCATAGAGAACTTCCTTCATAATGGCCAGCTGTTTCGCCTCCGCTCCCGTCAGTTTCTTTCTTTGTTTCTCTGAAAACAGCAGAAACAGCAAGCTGTGATTTACCACAACACAAGCTGTGATTTACCACAACACAAGCTGTGATTTACCACATCACAAACAGCAAAACAACACAAATGGCCAAAAGTGAATTTTGATGCGTGCAGACAAAATAGTTACTTCTTGGATTTTAGCACAATGGGCAAATCTATTAGTTGAATTTGTATGATTTATTAATATAAAATGATAAAAGAAATGTTAAACTCGAGAAAACGGTATCAGTTGAAAATCTACAAATTTGACCCTTCTGTTGATTTTCAGCCGATATCTCTATTCATGTATTACGAGAAGCGACTCATTTTGTCGGCATGCCTCACATTCACCCTTACACTAAACAACAGAAAGAGCAAAGTGTGAGAGAATGAAACAGTTTTCTCTCCTTTCTGTAAAATTTTGCATCTGGACTACGTTCATCTGAACAGCTTGCCCACGATGTCAGCTTTTCAAATCAGCAAAGAGGCTGGGGTATGGTCCTCTTTGAAGAACATTGAACAACTAAACTAAGAAGAGAATGAACAAAACCTACCTTTTCTCATCTTTTCCAGCTTCACAGATATGTGATTCTTCGACTTATGCGACTCTTTCCGCAGCAACTGAGAGGTAAAATAGCCAATGTATAACTCAGTAATCTTACGTACAATAATTTGAACAGGCAAAAATTTTTTTTAAATCAAACAATAAATTTGAAAGAGGACGAATATCACATAGCACTTTTGACTTCCAGGTCAGAAACCAGAACTCTACATCCTGTTACATTTCTTTGATAAAAATGTCAGGTCATATGTGGGTATGATTCTACCTTCTTATATATAATGCATTTCATATTTCACAAATCGTTCCCCTTGTAATGAGACAGATCAACTCCAGTGGAGAAAATTTTACACAAGTTTTAAAAGTTTATGTGGATTCATCACACAGCAACCTGGTAGCCAGCTGTAGTTCTAACATTTTGGAAACATTTCTTGTCAAAATTCAGACCTCTATTGGACTGAGCATATAAAATTTACAGGCTATTGGTCAAATTGTTAAAATGATACTTTGTGGGCTAACTGATCTTATCACAAACAAGGGCCACGAAATGTTTTTTGGCAGTTAAAGGAAATGCATCTTATTTGATAAAGACGAAAAGCTTACTTACCACTTCTTCAGGTGTTGCTCTGAGGACTGTAAGATCATTGACGCTGTCCTGAAAGAAAATGTAGGAAAAAAAATCTCAAAATAAAGAAGTTAGAGAGAAAACAACTGATGAACAAAAACAAATTCCCATGTGCCAGTCTTGCTTCATCGTTCAGCACTAGTTAGCAGTCCTGCTTCATAACAATACTTACTAGCAGTCCTGCTTCATAACAATACTTACTAGCAGTCCTGCTTCATAACAATACTTACTAGCAGTCCTGCTTCATAACAATACTTACTAGCAGTCCTGCTTCATAACAATACTTACTAGCAGTCCTGCTTCATAACAATACTTACTAGCAGTCCTGCTTCATAACAATACTTACTAGCAGTCCTGCTTCAGAAAACAAAGAGTACACTTTATTCTTCTCTTCAATTCTCACATAAAAACATATCTACTTCATATTTTCTTTCCCGTAGAGAAAAACAGCTTCTCACTGATACTTATAATACTTGTTCTTTTCAACCCCTCTTCTTTCCCAGAATTCAAATTCAAATTGAAGCAAAAACACTTTTCATGGAAAATTCAAACTCTCCTTATAATCATAGGCTACTTAATGGTACCAAGCCCGGAACTTCCCCCAATGTGTCCCTTGTGTGACTATACATATGAGACTGGAGCATCACCTGTTCCACTGCACAGCCCTAAATGACATCAGAGCTACCCTTTTCCCTCCGAGACCTAACATAGACAACACACTCTACGGAACGTTACAGCAACTGCAGCAGACCTGCACTTATCACTACATGGCATTGGACAGAAGGGCGAGAGCCCAGCTGTTGCTGGATCGATAACAACAACAACAACTCTTCGGGGCTCCGAACATTTCGAACGGATAGGCTACCACACACACACACAACAACAACAACAATGGTACCAAGTACTTCATGTTCACACTTTTTCTCTTACACAGCCTTTCCACTTCTTTCACCGACATATTAACTCAAAAAAATTAAAATGACAGCTTTTAAAACTTTGTATACCTATCTTACAAATACATAACATAGATCTATATATATGATTTTAAAAACTATAGATAAGATAGGATTATAAGATGAAAATTAATCTTTACTGTCCAGTTTATACTGACACATTGGTTCGGTCCTATTGCTAACAATGACAGCTTACCTGATTCCTACAAGTAACAAATACATAAAATGAAAAATTACATCCTGCAACAATGACCAAAATAAGCTTTAGGAAACTTTTGAATTTCAAAAAAAAAAAAAAAAGAAAAACAGGAAGAACCTTACATCCCAGTCAGGTTTTTTCCTTGTGGGTCTTTTCCTTCGACTTTGCCCTCCGATGCGATAAAAAGACATCACTGCTGTGCACGTTTTCTTCACCTGCAATTGTATTAAACGAATTAAAAGTGAAAGCCTACTTTATATTTTTGCAGATTAGTTTCTTAATTTGCCTTTGCCAACCATTGTACAAAACTAGTTTCTGTAGTCTGTAGCCTCTATATCTAATCTAGATCTAAATCTAGTTTTATATTTGCTTGCTTCTAGAATCTAAGAAGTAAAATAAATGTAAAAGAAGAGGATGCGTACACTGATCACAACACTAAAATATACAAGATCAGTTACGATCACTCAGCACAGAAACTTCGCTGATAGACAAAAGATAAATTTGACTTAGATCTAGAGTGTGTACAAAAGGTACATGTGTATGAGAAAACATCACACACAACAGGCCTCCTGCACAGACTTGTCAGCCATTCTTCGACTTCAGTACCGAGCGAGCCGAGTGCATGCATTCCTACTCAAAGAACAGCACTACAACAAAAAGCACCTTACGTTATATCATGAAACGGTGAAAATCACATAACAGTCAGGATAAAATAATACGACGGTCCTTACTAGCTTCCTCAGTCGAATTTCCTTCCACCCAATCTGTTTGTGTACTTGAATTTGAAAAAGACGAGATTTTGACTGTGGTACGCTTCCCTTGTTACCGCCGCCAAGGGAGGCAATTCTTGAAAATGGTGGAAAACAAACGCTCAGTGTAAACTTTCCCAGTAAAAGATTGTCATACAAGCACAGGTAGAATTCTGTGCATACCATAAGTGTAGAATTCTGTGGTGCATACAAGCAAGTTGCGAAGGAGCCTAATTTTCGCACATCCTTGAGAAAGTAGATTCTACGCGCTCGCAAGGGACATCGACTACTTGTTTTTTCTTTTCTTTTGTTTTTTTTTAAATCACAGTCAGCGCTTTTTTTTTCTTGTATTGATCATAATGAGGAAAAAAATAATAGCGACACACCAGCATGAATTTAGCACAAATTCCAAAGAAAAATAAACAGAGATAAAAACTTGAAAATGGAACGAAAAGAAGAGTTGCAGTATATAGAATCTAGGCGCCTAGAGACATAATTTTACTAAGGACATTAGACGAACTTTAATTTTTTTAAATACTCTTCAAAACAAATCTAGATCTAGATCTAGGAAGCAGTTGACGTTTCGTAGGCCTAGGGTTATATTAGATCTACCTGAAACCGAGTGAATAATAATCATATGAATGTACCGATTCAATATGAATGTCCTTGGTTACATGAATTTAATTTAAGGCTCCCGTGGTATATGGTGGTGTTCGTCTCTCATTTGATAGGTCCCGGGTTCTAATCCTGAAAGCTACGAAACATTTTCTTCTCGAAAATTTACTCCCCTCATTTCCTTTTCTCACAAATACACTCTGGAAAAAGTGTAAAACCAGGCTCTCCGAATAATCACTGGAGCAATGAGGTCAACGCCTATAGAAAAGATGGAA